TTTTCTTGTACATATATAAGTATTTCCTACATTTGTATATACATATGTCCTTATGTATGAATGTATTTATTTCGCCTTATGTGCCATTAGTAGTTATGTATAAATTGCCACTGAGCAAAAACGCATCAGTAAAAAAGGCGAGTGCAGCACCGTACACGTGTTAGAAGTGAAACTTCTTAAAAAAACATATATGTTTCAAAGGAATTGAATTCAATGTTAAACCATCTTTGCGAGTAATGCTCCAGTTGCGCGAGCTACACGGGATCTTAATCTCATTGCTAACTCGGTAGCTCTTGACTTCTCATTGTCGAAGGGCTCTTTTTTAAATCTGTTGTATACCATTTTCTAGTAAATTTTTCCCATTTTTATTTTTATTTATTTATACATATGTAAGTTATTTGCTAGTCTGTAAGAACTTTGTATGTTCATAGACAATAAATAAATAAATAAATAAATAAATAAATATTTCAATAAATCATTTAGATTTAGATAGGGTTTTTAGCAACTTATTTGGGAAAAATAAAACATTAAGATTTTTGTTTGGATTTTGGTTGATTTTAAATTTGGTATCCCAAAATAATTGATATCAAATAAAACACCTCTTTGAGGTAAAATTTTCGAGTGACGAAAGCTGAACTAGAATCACAAAATTTATGATATTAATTTCGTGACGAAAATTATACGCATTTTTTTAATTGCCCTGTAGTGCGATTCTGATTCTAATTTTAACCAAATTGTACGTTGTCATCTCTAGTTAACAACTTTTTTTGGGGTTAAGTGATTGTGTATCAACTTTAACCATATTTGTCATTGTTTATTGTTAACAAACGCAGTCAGCTGTTTGGTGACAATTATTTTTGTGGATAAGCTAACAGCATCTAGTTTTGCTTTGTTTAGCTGTTTGCATATTTTGCTGTGAAGTTAAATTGAGAAAATTGTGAAAATTGTGTTAAAAAATGGCATTTGCATACATTGCATCATATTTATATGATAATGATAATGAGCAGACCCGAGCCCCCTGCCCAAACGTAGCGACGCCCATGGCTACGCCTCTTTTCCAAAAACGTCCATTTTTCTCCGTGAATATGAACATGATTTCGCACAGTGTTGGCAAACTGTTAATCTGTTTAAAATTAACGATTAAAATGTTAATCGCGTTTGACGATTGTAATTAATTAGTCGTAATCAACTGTACGATTAATGATAACATTACGATTACGTTTAATTAATTTAAAACATTAATCGTTAATCCAATTAAAAATAAAATCTGATTAATTTGTCTAGTTTGTCCGAGTTTGAAACCAAACACCAGTTATAGTAATTATTTTGTGTTTACGCTTAAAAAAAGCACGTAATATAAAATAATAATAATTATTATTATTAGTAATACATAAACTGGGAACTTTTACAAACCTAGTTTGTAAAACGTTTGTTGGTATACATATATCTTAATGAAAATGCACACCAAATTGCTTAGATTGATGAGGAAGCCCGACTTAGCCATACTGGATTAACTTGCTTTGTGTGCACAGGAAAATTCCAGCATAACTTAATTAATCACCAAACCTACTTGATCAAATTAAGAAAAAGAAAAATTATTTTTTTAATCGCGGTTACGGTTAACTGTTTAGTCGGATTAAAATTAATCTTGATTAACTGTAAGCAGATTGAATTTAATCGAATTAACTAACTAATTAAAACATCAATCGATTAATGCCAACATTGATTTCACATACATATCACTATACCAAGTTTCAGTTCTCTCCCACAAATCCTTCCAGAGATATGTATGTAATATGAAAATTCCAATTTGTATGGGAGGGGCCTTGAGTTATCGCACTTACTTTCAGTCTAAGACCATCCTTCCGAAATCCGTAGTAAGTGTACTAAATTTCGTTCTGATCAGAAAACCGTTTAAGGAAGTAGCCTATTTTTCAATCCAGGTCATAAACCATCTTTGAGCAAAATTTAATTTTCAAACAGGTGGCAATTCTTAAAAAAGTAGCCTATTTTCTAGTCTAGGTCATAAGCTATCTGTGTGCATACTTTCATGCAAATCAGTTCAGACATTTCCACGTATTAATTTAATTAAAGTTTCCTAATACGTGATAACTCTTAAAATAGTAGCCTATTTTCCAACATAGGTCATAAGCTATCTCTGTGCGAAATGTCATGCAAATCTGTTCAGTCGTTTCCGCGTATTAATTTAATTAAAACTTTTTTAACAGGTGGCAACTCTTCCAAAAAATTAGCCTATTTTCCACTGTAGGTCATAAGCTATCTGCTTGCAAAATTTCAGGCAAATCCGTTCAGACTTTTCCGCGTATTAATTTAATTAAACTTTTTTAGCATGTGGTAACTCTCGTCGGCCGCTGTGGTGTAGTGGTAAGCAATGCGCGCTTTCACTCATCAGAACTTGGGTTCAAGCCCTGGTCAAAGCAACATCGCAAAAAATATAGAAAAAGGTTTTTCTTATCAGCGGTCGTCCCTCGGCAGGCAATGGCAAACCTCCGAGTGTATTTCTGCCATGAAAAAACAGCGGAGTCGGCTTAAAATTGTAGGTCCCTCCGCTTTGTGTGACAACATCAAGGCGCACGCCACAAGTCGGAGGAGAAGCTCGGCCAAACACTAACATATGTGTAAGCGCCAATCTATTATTATTATTATTAACTCTTAAAAAAGTAGCCTATTTTTCAACCCAGCTCATAAGCTATCTGTGTGAAAAGTTCCATGCAAATCAGTTCACTCATTTCCGTGTATTAATTAAATTAAACATTTCTAACAATCTCTTATTATTATTATTAACTCTTAAAAAAGTAGCCTATTTTTCAATCTAGCTCATAAGCTATCTGGGAGAAAACTTCCATGCAAATCATTTCACTCATTTCCGCGTATTAATTAAATTAAACATTTCTAACAGGTGGCAACTCTTAAAAAAAGTAGCCTACTTTCTAACCTAGGTCATAAGCTATCTATGTGCAAAATTTCATGCAAATCCATTCAGTCGTTTCCGCGTATTAATTTAATGAAACTTTTTATCAGGTGGCAACTCTTAAGAAAGGTAGCCTATTTTCCAATCTAGGTCATAAACTATCTGCGTAAAAAATTTCATCCAAAGCCGTGCAGTCGTTTCCGCGTGATGATTTCCCAAACATCCAAACATACAAACTTTCACATTTATAATATTTATTATAGATTTTTATCTATTTTACAGATAAAATATATGGAGGAAAAGGAGAACGCAAAAGCTGTCAAAGCATTTATTGTAGCCATTCCATATTGGCAGTAAGCTAACTTCTCAATGTGTAAACATTCCGAAATCAAAGCGAGACAGTCTAGTACCGTTTTTGTCAATGTATTGTGTACTTGAGTGCCGTTTTTGTATATGTGTTGTGTACATGTTTATTTATAAACGTATGTGTTCCTTTTCTTTCGTACGTGTTTATTGATATATCTGCACTGTAGTGTTTTCGGACGGTAATAGCTCTTACTGCCAATATAGGAGTATTACATATATGATTGTAGCATACCTTCTGCGTTTCACGCTTTGTTGTCAAAGTTTGAACTATCAAGCAAAGCGAGGAAAGTTGTATGTGAATGTCCCTTTATTGTCGGAATAACTAACAACACTCGAAAAAAGCAGGTCTACTATAGTTAAATTATTTTCTTCTTACTTTTTACAGTTAAAGGGAATTCCAACGTTATATAAAAACCTTAAAATAATCCTAACGTCTTTTGTTTGTGTAAAATAATTACACAAACAAAATACATGGCGAAAAATTACCGAACACAAAATTACCGAGTACCAAATTCAGCGGAACGACCCCTTTTAAATATGTTTACGCTTAGAATTGAAAATTCAGTACAAATCAATACACATTTTGAAAAATCAGGGCATTAGCGTACTGATTAAGGGAATCAATAAAATCAGTACGAGAGTTGAAAAATCAGTACTGGACTGATAAAATCCGTTCCAGAGAGCCACCTGCCGTGCTGCTAGCGCTCTTTTCGCCATCCGCTCCGACCCGACCGCACGACAACAACGAACGTCATCTCTCCCTCTCCCTCTCTTTAGACATAGGGCTGCTGAAACTCTAGTCACAGCGCTGTTTGTGCGTATGCATGTGTATTCGAATTAAATACACGAAAATAATCAGCCCAATTATGAATGAAAACTAAAGGGGAAATTTTTCTCTTTCCCCCTTTCCCGTATTCTGAATAAAAAACCTCGGGGAAATTTTTCTCATCCTCCATTCCTCCTATTCTAAATTGACTTAGAAAGTGGAGAATTTTTTCCCGCTTAAAAAGTAGGTATTATGGATGACAAAAAGAGCGGGGAATGATTGTCAATTTATGAGTTTTTCCGCCTAACGCACGGTGGGGTGCAATAAGGCCATACGCAATAAAGCCATATGGCAATAAAGCCATATTTTTAAAAAGCCATATGGCTTTATTTCCAATCAGAAAGAGAAATAAAGCCATACAAAAAGTTTCGCAAATGAGAAATAAAGCCATATTCTGAAATGACACTCTCAAGGCGGTGTTAACGGCGAATCTGAATTTATCTGAACATTACGTCCAAATGATGTGTTTGTTGTAATTCATTATTAAATTCGCCTTGGACACACTCTTGAAACTGATACTGAATTATTTAAATTTATACAAATTATTACTAATAAAATGAAATAAATCATTATTTAATATTTCCGGATTTATTGGATATTGAAAAATAAATATATGTACTTAGGTAAGTTTTAATTTTGCGAGTGCATAACCTGGCGGGTGCACATTTGCTGGCTCCCCGCACCGCGCCGCGTGTGAAGGGCGGAGCGCGGGGGCCGGCGCAGCGCGCGCGGCGCGTGAATGGCGGAGCGCGGCGCGGCTGGACGCGAAGGAGAAGGAGTTGTAGTTCAAGGCGGTTTAGTAGTTTTGTTGCGAACTTTTTCCATTGTTCAAATAAAAGAAACATAAAAATTTGAAAGCGAAATAAAGCCATATGGCTTAATTACCAATTGTAATTGGAAATAAAGCCATATCGAATTTATGGCCTTATTACCAAAAAAATATGGCCTTATTGCACCCCACCCTAACGCACGCCAGCGAACTTTTGTTTAAAATGTGAGTTTTTATTTATTTTCTATAAAAATTTGCATAAAGCTTAGTAAAAACTTGCAGCTGCTTTTGGACCTGATGCAGTCTCATCCCGATATTGCGCGAGGATTTCATAAAGGCAGCAAAGACGAGCTTGTGAGATTTTGGCGTAAGGCGGAAGAAGAACTAAACTGTGCAGGGTCTCCAAGTAAAAACATATCGGAGTGGAAAAAGGTAGAAGGAAATTAATATACGTTTCAGAGGATATACATATTTAAGTTTAAATACGAAACACATTTCAGGTGTGGGCAGACCAAAAGAAATATGTGCGACAAAAGGCGGCCCAAATTTAAAAGCGAGCAGAGCAACTGGTGGGGGCCCAAATTTTGAGCAGAAGTTTTCGGCCAATGAAGAGGCTATTTACAGCTTAATTGGCATGAAGGTATGAGTGGAAGGCGTGGCGAACAAATTCGGGCTGAGCTCCACAAACGACAATGGTAAATACCGAAATCCAGACATCGAAGACACAGAGGTGGTTGAAGTACCGTTGGTGGAGCGTGAAGTAGAAGTCACCTCAAATGCGTTGATAGAAAACTCCGAAGCAACTGACTATCAAACGCCACCCTCAAAAAAATCGCAAACAAGTGTTAAAAACAGCAACAGCCAAGTGTCACGCCAAACGCCAACGCAAAAACTTTATTCTTATGATGTCCTCGAGGAAGAGATTGTCATACATAAAGCAATGTGTGGCAGTATTAAAGTTGCTGCTTCAGAAATGAAAGACCAGCAACAGTACACCAAGAAAACTTACATTCCATCGACAGGCTTTATAGCCTGCAGAAAGAACATTTCGAAGACATAACGTCTATAAAAAAGAAAAACTAGAAGAAATAAAGCGGCATAATCTAGTCATGGAAAGATTGAAGCTTAGAGAGGTGGAAGACAAAATTGAGAAAAATTAAAGTCCAACAAATATTGCAATTGAAATGTGATATACATACACTGGCGATCAAAAGTGAGTGCATGGTGTTTTTCGTTGAATATTTGCAATGTTTTTGAAGTAATTTTCTTATAAAAATATCGTTTATTCTTCAATTAAAACCACATAAGTAAAACTTTCAAACTTCGCAAAGAAATTAGAAAAATTAATAAAAAAAAATTAACGCGATTTTTTTGTGGCTTAAAACTTACACTTGATTTACTAGAATTAGACAGCCAATGTACCTGATGATTTTTTCTAAAAATTCAGATTAAGTGGTGCAAAATTTAAAAAACAATTTGTAGAATTTTTCGAATTTCTGTATATAGTTTGAAAGTTTGAATTTTGTGGTTTTGATTGAAGTATAAACCATACTTTTATAATAAAATAACAAACAAATTTTAACTTCAAAAACTTTACAAATATTTAACAAAAACACCATACACTCACTTTTGATCGCCAGTGTACATATTTACTTATGAAAATATGTTAATTTTCCTTTATTTTCGTTACTTGTTTTGTTATTGTCAAGAAGACTGAATTTACTTTGTTATACATAAATACAATTATATGTAAACATTATTATATATAGAAACTTTTCTGATGATTTTTGCTGTTGGGTACTCATATTTTGAAACTGTATTTATATATTCCCACCAAACAATTTGTGTTGCCAGCAATAAGAAAACGTGTCGCCCTCGGAAACAAATTTATTGCCGGTAATATTGCCATCGAATCGATTTCCTATTACCGGTCGCTCTAAAACGTCCGCCGAAGGCAACTCGCCTGGGCGAGTCGTTTTCTTATTACCTGAATGAGTCCTTTTCTTATCGCTTCAGGCGATTTTTGGAATAATTTTATTCTTTTTAATACTTCATTTATTTTTTTGTACCAAATTGCAACTTACAATCGGAATTAATTCATTTTCTCGCTGTGCGATTTCCTATTTTTTCAATCTTGTCCTTGGGCATAATTTAGATGCTTTTGGCCAATACTATTGACGCCATATTCATAAGTTTCGGAATTGTTGAGAACTTTTTTATTCAAAATTGACATGAACGAAGTGATGTTGCCGATTTGTCACCACAGCAATAAATCGGTGAGTCGCCAATTTGCTGCCATTGGCGATTGTTGCTTATTTCTCATGTTTTGCATGGTGGGTTATTTCCAATGTTATTTCTCATTCTTTGCGCAGTAGACAAATATTGGGCTGAAGCAGGAGATATCACCTCACTTTCTTGGGCAGTTGAATTGTGTGACTCGTCGAAATCCATAACACTATTCACTCTGAAAAAAAGGCATATGTTATGCAATGCACAACACACAATGATTTTCCTGCCTTTTCTGGGGAGTAATGCAACTCTCTTGCTCCAAGAAGGCATCTCCATCGATTTTTAGCACCCCATTGGTACGTTCTATAACATTTCTGCATTTTGAGTGAACTTCGATGAATTTCATTTCAACGGATCCTTCCTGTGGACTTCTATGCGGGGTTAAAAGCCACGGCTCTAGAGGATATCCGGCGTCCCCCATTAAAAAAAAGTTAAATAATTTGTACTATCTAATATCGCCAAAATACTATACCAAGCAGAAAATAATTGCCCAAGTCTCTTAAATATTCTCGTTCAAGGTGAGTTCGTAGCTCGCTGGTATTCCAAACGAAGGAATCGTGACAAGCACCGGGGTGGGATGCATCTACATACTGAATACGTAGATGATGATCACACACCTGAAAAAAAAAATTATTAGAGGTAAAAAGTAATAAAACGTATCACTTACCAGCATGACATTTAAGCTGTACTTTCCCTTTCTGTTATAATATAAGTGTTTATTCTGGGAGGCAGCTATAATGCGGACGTGTCCCATCGATGCATCCCATCACACTTGGAATACCATGCTTACGGTAAAGTGCCAATGAAATTTTGCGTTTTTCTTCCGCTGTTCTGCAAAAACGGATCCATTTTGTGCAAAGATTAGTTTCAAAAATATGTATAACTTCGCTAACCACTTTGCTGAGGCTACATTGAGCAAGAAAAACGTCGTATTCTTTTTCGATTCCCGTCTGATAGCCACCTTCTGCAAAGAAGCGTAAAGTTACGTTTAGTTTTATCAGCGGAGAAACAGCGAACGACTTTTTTCTAAGTACCGAAAAGCTGCTTTGTTTACCCTATAATATTTCTCAAATCTTTAAAAACACAAATATTAATGTAAAATAAGTATACCAATTTCTTTGTTTACTTACAAAGCTTGGGACAACTCAAGCGGGTTTGTTGCATTGCGTAACTGCCTCCTTTCCATCCTTTGTGTCCGATTCTGCTCCACATCTTCGTCCATCTCTTCTGCTACCAAATGGAAGGCTATGCTGTACATTTTATCTTTAGATTAAAAAGAAAAATGTAATTTAATAACAGAAATGAACAAATTGGCTTTTATTACAATGTTTACGTGTCAACTGTCAAAAGAGAATTTCTTCAAAGAAACACAGCCAACTTCACATTTTCGAATTTTCGAACTTCTATTCCCATATTTTAATTTTCCCCGATAGTTTAGAATTGGAGGATTTTATTCTCGAGAACAACAGACTCCGGGAGGGATGAACTGGACGGGAATATTTAGAATTGGGCTGAATGTGTTTTATTTGGTGGAAGTTAGTGGGACCTCCACTGGACTCTGGATCGGCTGAGCTCACCTCAGCCTTCGAAAAAACCCACCTCATAATATATGTAAAAAGTACGCAAAACGGAGGGCTACGTTCTTACAAAGTGAATACAGCTCCTAATCGCAACGAAACAACGTGCTCGGAAATTCCACGACCGTCTTATACAGAAATTTGTCTGTATTATTATGGATGACGAAGCGTACGTAAAGGCCGGTTTTAGAAAATCCGAGGCCGCGAATTTTACACTGCAAATAAAAGAGGCAATGTTGCAGAAAAATATAAAAAAAGCTTGACAACTTTCCCAAAAAGTTTCCCAATGATTTAATGGTATTCATGGGAAAGTTTATGTAGGTACATTTACATATTTTACACTTTTAACCTAAATGTGTATGCACTTATAACATAATATTTCTTTTTTGATGAAGGCGTTGCTAATTTTCTTCATAAAAAAAACGTCGAACATACTTAGATAATATGGAAGAAAATTACCGACATCGTCAAAAATATGCCATACATCAACTGTAAATCACAGCTACTTTAAATTTGCACTTTATTAGACTAAAAAACTGCAATATATTAAGAGATAAAATTGAAATAGAAAGTTCGAAATTTTTACGAAAGTTTGTAGATTTTTTTTAATGTTGTTCAAAGATTAAACTTATTTTCATTTAGTGTTTGTAAAGGAATAAACTGTCACCCCTATTCTGCAACTCTTTCGTATTCGGATTTTGCTACGAATCTTAGAAATAGTATGCTGCAATCCGAATCGTATTTTCGAACTTTCGAAATTCGTAACAATGGCATGCCTAAAAACGAACGAAGCTTTTTTGCGTAATTTTGTACGAAAACAATTCTGTATCGGAGGCGAAATAAAAGATGAAATCGATGTGTGTTTGCAAAAAATATTGGTGGTGTTCATTTTAGCAGATAAATTTGCCTTTCGCACATACGTATATTTTTATCCACTGCTTTATATAAACGAAAAAGAATATTTGTTGCCCCTTATCGAGAAACTTGGGTCCGGTTTAGTTAATGTACAACGATTTTCGGTTGTTGTGTCCAAACGCATAACCCGAATCCAAAAACTTTAACATACACGTGTAATCAAAGGATTCACATTTTATTTAAGATAAATGTTTCAAATTTCCTACCACAAGCTTATTAATAAGCTCGGTTTGCACTATGCACTTTTTCGCAAATATCGACGTGGGTTCTGCGCGAAAATACTGTAGACGGCGTAGCCGGAGTGATATGCACAAGAAATGTTGTATATCTTTGACATGCGGAAGCCCCTCTTCTCCGGCAACACAGAAAGGAGAATTCTACTTAGTAAGGGTTATAATTCCTCAGCGCGGCCGAAGGCAGAAACAAATTCAACAGGTGGTGGACCTAACAAAGGGCATGTTTTCAATGGTGTGGAAGAAGCTGTATTGCATTAACTGGATTGAGAATCAGATCTTCAGGCATAGGAGCAGTTCTGGCTTGTGGTTCAACAATTCAACCAGAAGCTGACATAGATGCGCCCATGGTTACCATGCCCGACAAATCCGCATACCTTTGTGAATCCATTGCCATAGCGCCCGCTTACTCTGCTGCTATAATTGCAAATACATCAGAATCCATAATTTTCCTCAAAATGTGTTAAATTTACCAATTTTACAATAAACAAGCACATGATGAGTGTTTTTTTAATTCCTTTCCACTTTGTTTTCCTTCATTCAGCTATCTTCGAAAAACAACTGGTCAATGCTGCACATGTTTTCGCAAGGGTTACAGCATGTGGATTTTTCGTTTTTCGTAGCGTAGCTACGAATTTCGAAAATTCGAGTTCTAGAATAAGGGGGTATATTTTTATAATCAAATAATTCAAATTAAAATATAATAAAATAAATAGTTAAATCTAGTCAATATGTGAGTGTCGTAAAGTTATGATATTTAAGAATATCTCTTTCTTAATTAGCGATGACACTTTTTCTGTAAGCTGATTTCGACATTTTGTTTTAATAAAATTTAGTATCGAAAATATTCTTTCAAACCTTGCCTAGGAATGTGATAAACCCTTTTTTCAAAACTTATTAATTCAAAAACGAGAAGGCGAACAGGCTAACCTAATACCTAATATTTGCGGCTTGCGTTTTGGTACGCATGCCGTCGAATTTGTTTTTTTGCGTCACCCGAAATTGACTTGCATGCGTTTGCATTTGATTTCATTGAGCGAAACGTCAAATCAAAATGTCACGCAGAACAAAAATTGGAAATTGAGTTAGCTTCATACGCACGCCGTTCAATTTCGGTTGATCTTATACAAGTTGCA